TCATCAAGACATGTTGGAATATGAAGTTTGTTTCATCAAGGAATCAAAAAGTCAAATTTTACTTTGGAAAAGTCAAATTCTAAATACTTAGAAATTTTTTCTAAGTGTTTAAGAATTATGGCAATTTCAGAACTTCTGACCAAGATTATCACCATAACACTCAACAAATTCTGGATATTCTCAAAACAGAGTTTGGTCAGAACTTCTGGACAAGTTTTCACAAAAGTTCAGCCAGAGTTTGCCAGGATAATTCAAAGAAGGTTAAGAAGCATGTTGCAAGCTTTCTAGAAAGTCTGAAAGCTCCTTCAGAACATGCTGGAGCCAGAAGATAATAAGATTAGAGGTTGGATGCTACGCTGAAGTAGAACTTCTGATCCAGAACTAAGCCTTGGTATAGAATCTCACGCTGCAGAATTTCTGGTTGTGATAAGTCTCACAGTCATTAATGCTCACAACCACTTTTTGAGTCTTTATCCAAAGGATTTTCACCACGTGTACCTCTATTGTCTTGGGATAGCAAACTTTGGTACTAGGCCCATGCTTTGTTTTGCTTTTCCTTAATTCCTGCTGATAACTACCATGCTTGCTTCAAGAACAAGGCAGCGCTTTAGCATATGAAGGCTATATTCAGCGCTTTGGTCAGAACTTGACCAAATCCCAAAACCTTGTTTATACAACCCGCTGCAGACCTATAACCAGCAGCTAGGTCAGCCTACGACTGTATCCCATGATTGCACCAAACTAGCATACGAAAACAGTGATGAAAAAGCAAGGGAGCAGGATGCCAAATTGATTTAAAATCCCATTTGTCTTTCCCCCCAAAATGACAGCAAATTCACCTATAAATACTTTGTTCCATCACACGTTCAAGAGGTTGGACTTTGAAGGAGAGACTGACTTTTGGAAGAGAGATTGGTAAAAAAGGGAGAAAAAAGGAAGTTGAAACCTTCATAAAAAATCTAGAAATCCTAAACAGAAAACCAAACATTTTTTCTTCCTTTTGAATCAAAGAGCTTGGCACTTCCTCTTCCGTTACTCTTGCTGATTCCAGAACATCCAAAGGTAGCAGCCCAAAGCTCCAAGCACGCTCCAGGTTCAAGGTAAGTCTTTTTGACTTTGCTTGTTTTTCATTCTGAACATCATTAACATGTAAATATCATAATATTAATGTTGTCCATATCATTGCATAAGTAGAAAAACTGTGGATCAGAGTTTCTTGATTAGGGCTAGATTCAGATTTAGGATTAGAACTTCTGTAAACTATTGTGCTTTTATCCTTCTGACTTGCTGATTGTTGAAAATTGAATAGATTACTGATGTGCTGATTGAGTGTTGAAATATGGCATTAAAACTTCTGATGCTCATTCATAGTTTTAGCATACAAAACTTCTCTGATTTTTCTCACTGTTAAACACACACAGAACTTATGAGTTCTCTTCACTGTTTTAACACACAGAACTTCTATGATTTTTCTCGCTGTTAACACACACTGAACTTCTGATTCTTACATGCTGATAACGCATTGAACTGCTAATGTTCACTCACTGGCTCAGCATAATTCAGAACTTCTGATGATTCACTCACTGTTCTAACACAGCACAGAACTTATGAGTTCTCCTTGCATGTCAAATATATTGAACTTATGATGTTTCCATTTGTTGTTTTTACACACTGAGTTTCTGATTTTTATATGCTGATAACGCACTGAACTGCTGATATCTCCTCATTGTTTTAGTGTAATACAAAACTTCTGACTTGTGGCCCACTGTCTGAATACCACCCAGAACTTCTGTGTTTTCCCTCTAATGTGGCTTGCAGGACCTCAGAGTTTACCAATCCAGAACTTCTAATTCCACTGACGTCTCCTGCTGAGTCACAGCGCTCTTGGCTTCAGAACTTCTGATCCTAGTTCTTCTTGCAGCAACACGCTGTTTCTATCTTGCATTTATTTTCCTTTTCATCATTTTTAATATTAACATAAAAAATATAAAAATATTTTCCTTTTAATTTATTTCCTTAAGATAATTTTTTTCTCTAAACAGGTTCATTTCTTTCTTATATTATGCATTTCAATATGGTTGTAATAGATAATTAGGACTTAAATTCCTTGCAATCCCCATTTGTAAATATGTACCCCATCCCTAAAGTATTGTAATAGCGTAGGACTTTACATTTCTGCAATTTATCACTTTCGAATGTAAATGCTAGTAATTAGGGTGTGTATGGCAAGAGATAAAATCAACAAGTAGATAACCCTAATCAAAGATTAAATGCATGCAAATCAAACACATTATTCACACATGCACCCTTAAGGTTAACTCCACTTGTTGCCTAAAAATGGCCATGTTATGCATGTGGGATGTCTTAGTACAAACAAAAATATGAGATCATAGTCCCTCAATGACGCTATCAAAGTTGCCTTTCGAAATGATCTTAGTCCCTAAAGAAAAATGCTAAGTCATCTCACAACATTGCTATCATGGTCATACGATGACCCAACACCTGTCCCTTCACATCCAACGATGGGGCTTCTTACCAAATCAATGGTAAGATAACCACATCTAAAGGAGAAGGAAAAACACATTTAAGACCTTTTGAGTAGGTAGGTTCGCTCTTAGTTACTCGCTTGCTCACAACAACAAAAAACATTTTTTACACCAACACTTTCTTGAAAACTATTTTCAAAACAAACATTTTGTATACATTCTTATAAAAACGAGAATCATTACAAAGTTACATTTACAAAATACTTTAAAAACCCACACCACAAGCACATTCAAACAAAAGCAAGTGATCTAGCGAGTAACTAAGAGCCCATGGAAAACCATGGATGAAAAGGGTGCTAATACCTTCCCTTTTCATAATCTACCCCCCGAACTCAAAAACATCTCTAAAGGTATTTCCTGTGCTTTTTCACCTTTCCTTTTGGATAAAAGAAAAGCCGGTGGTGACTCTTTCTAAACCGTAACATTTGCGAACACAAACACAAAACACTTCAAGTCAGTTCTCCCACCGTATCACATAGGATTTTGAATAACAAGTATGCAAGCTCGAAGTGGGTGGCCAAACATGTGGTAAAGAGGATGCAAACTTGTGATACATTTAGGATAAGAGATATTATGCATGATATTAGGCAAAAAATTTCAGTTGGTATAAGTGTTGCAAGAGCATGGAGGGCCAAGTTAATTGCAAAGAAAATAATTGAAGGAGATGCGAATAATCAATATGCTTGCACATGGAGGTATGCAACTGACTTAACAAGAGTAAATCCTGGAAACACTGTTAAAATTAATATTGAGAGACCCTGTCCTTCCATACAACCAAGGTTTAGGTCATTTTATTTCTGTTTTGATGGTTGTAAGAAATATTTTATTAATGGATGCAGACCTTTTGTGGGGGTTGATGGATGTCACTTAAAGACAAAGTATGGTGGACAATTATTAATTGTTGTGGGTAAGGATACAAACGACCAATACTTCCCATTGGCATTTGGTTTGGTTGAAAATGACTTATGCACCAAGTGTGCTTGTTTTGGCCATCTGTTATGTCTCTTTTATTTTGTACTGTGTTGATTTTGTCTTATGTAATCAAGTGTGTTCATTTTGGGCAACTGTATCAGACTTATGTAACAAACTTGAAATTATGTAACAAACTTATTTTGTACTATGTTCCTGTTGATCTATGTTCCTGTTGTATCAATTCTACATATGTAAACAATTATATTATAATTGTTGGATTATGTAACAAAACTTAACATTTCATTCTAAATAAAATTGTTGGATTACAATTAGATTTGAAAGGGATAACATAACAACTACACTAATTTAACCACAACTGCAAACATCATCCATGACAGACCAATTACAAACATCATCCTGAAATTTTTTTCTCTTTTTCATTACAATCTTTCTCTTAAGTTTTTCTAACTTGTTAAGCCTTCATACTCTCCAGTCTATCTCGCCGATAATCTCTTTCGCTAATTCTCTCAAGTAAGTCTTATCCATTTCACATTGACAACGTCTGGACGGATTAACATCTTTCACTTCAACTAAATCATCCTAAAGGAACAGATCACAACTATTCTGCAATTTTATTGTAACAAGATCAACACATATAAATCAAAATTGTGACTTTAATATGATTACATGCTTAAAATTACTCACTATGGAGTTCCTACATTTCCAGAATTTTCTGTCTGGATTTTCAAATGAGTTGGACCCACATCTTCATAGTTGAGTTACACCGCATATTGGCAAACCCTTTCCAACATCATTCGTTGATAATGACTTGCTCCCACCCATACCCCGATGTTGGTAGACGATTACGAAGCAGATGGCGGAAGAACACGAAGAAGACGGCGGAAGAAAACGAAGAAGATGGCAGAAGATCACGAAGAAGATGGCGGGAGCACATAATATGAAGGTGACGAAGAAGAAGATGGTATTGGAGAATAAAAACTCTAATTTTGAGATATAAGACGCTTTATGCCATGCTGTCCAACATGTGTACATTACTTTAGAAAAAAATATAACAAAATGCCACGCAAGAAATAACAGGTGAATATTCCATGATACATGATCAACGAGAGGTTCTATGAAGGAATCTACATAACAAGGAGGCGTTTAAAAAAACTATACCAGAGATTAAAAGCAAAACTCGCTAATATTACATGAGGTTTTTTATATTTAACTCTAAAAAAAATCAAACTAATTAAATTAATGAATTATTTTTAATTTGTATATAAAAATGGATTATATTTTTTTATTGAGTTTGAATGAAACCAACTCGGTATCACAAGACAAATCACAAAAGTTGAGTTAAATCAAACGAGAAAAAAACCAAACAAAAGTGCTTTGGTTAGAACGACAGTTCTTATGACAAGTCGCAACACGAGCGATATCTTCTACAGATAGGACCAAACCAAACGAATCCCTTTCCTTGTTGCTTCTTCCTCACTTTTTTCTCCCAATTCACCACAATCGTTATCAACACTATCATCCATGGTAGCATTGGGAAAAGGATTTTCCATGCCTAACAACATGGTTTTCAGATCAGAGCTCCAACCTATCACGCCGGAACGCTTCCTTGGCACTGATTCATCCTCTTCTTCTCGTCGAAGGGACCTCGTTTTTGTCGTCAACCCTCAAGGTTTTTTCTTCCCCCTGCCTCCTCACAAAATAATTATTCTGAATGTTCAATTCTTTCCGCATAATTGATACTCAGATTGATAGTTAGTTAGTTAGTTATCTAGACATGTTATTGATTAAAGCTATGTAACACCGACGGCTCTGAAAAGTGTGTTAGCGTATGTGTCTGAAACCGATTAAGTTTTATTTATTTATTTTTCTAAAATTATTATTAATGTTGACATGTCCGTGTCTGTGTGTCTGTGTCTGAGTGTTTGTGTCGTGTTTTCAATATAGGAGTGTTTAAGTTAAGTGCTGTATATAGTGGACATTTTTGTTAAAATTTAGAAGCAAGTAACTTGGGTTGTAGGTGCTAATGGAAGGACTGGTAGAGAATGGAGGAAGTTAGTTCCATATCTTAAGTCTCGCCTTGGTAAAGAATGCAATGTGAGTCCTTTCTACTATGTGTTTTTGTGTATTGTGTTTGTTTCGTTTGGATTTCATGATACATGTAATTGTACCCTTTTTGGTTTTTAAATAGATATGCGAATCCTTGACTTCAGGCCCTTGTCATGCAATTGACATAACGCGAGAGGTTAGTTTCAAGGGTTTTAAATGCATTGGTATAAGATTTAGGACTAAACTTAGGTGATTATAGGTGTTGTTCGCATGGTTCACCGATTACAACATGTTAGGTTTTACAATTGGATACATAGTTACGCACGTAAGTTTTGTCGTAAACTATATTGCTTTTAATGAGTTCAGATATTGTTATCCTCGTGGTATGTAGGCTATAAGGGAAGGAGCTGATGCTGTCATTGCAGTTGGAGGTGATGGAACTCTTCATGAGGTATAGATTGTACCGAAGTGAAATCTTTTACTAGTTTCCACTTTCTGTCTTGTTAGAAAGGGCTCAACCAAGCATGTTGTTGATATGTTTGTTGTAAAACATATTTACTTGATAGTAAGCGTAATTGTCGACACATTTCTATATTCTTTCTTCTTTTTGCACCTAATGTTCCTCAGTTCATTATAAGCAGGTTGTTAATGGGTTTTTCTGGGCTGGGAAGCCTGTTGCTAGTCAAATGAATGAGTCTACACGTTCAACGGCTCTTGGTGTGAGTAGCAGTATCCACAATGCCATATTCTCAGTTTTTATTCAATGCACGTTTTAGTTTCTCAAATCCCTATTAAATATCCCGAATGGTACTATCATTAACTATATTCTATCTTTATGCAGCTCATCCCCTTGGGGACCGGTTCTGATTTTGCAAGAACATTTGGATGGTTCGTTTGTTATTTGTATTTTCATTCATTTTGCACCTCTATGTAATTGAAGTTAATAAAAACATTTGTTTGTTCTTTCTTTTTTAATAGGAAAAACGATCCCTGTGAGGCTGTTGAACGCGTTGCTAGAGGTTTTATCTTATTCTTGTTTTAGAATTTTTATTTTCTTCTAGCCTAAGCATGGTGAAGCTAGTCTCACATCTTATCTTGCTACATATTCTTTTAGTTTTTCCCTTAATACCTTCTAATACATTTCTTCTTTGGATCTAACTCCTCTAAAATGAACAGTTCACTTTAGAGGGTAAAGTAAGTAATCTTAATTGTTGACAAGTAAACCAAATGGTTGATATTTTGCGTATATATGCATAACAAATCCTACATGTGTGAACATGTGTTAGAATATCAACTATTGACTTTCTCATCAACGGTTGAGATGTCTTACTTTACCTACTAAAGCGAGTGCTCATTTTAGAGGAAACAAATCCTTTTTCTTTAGGGTTGAGATCAAAGATAGATGTCGGAGTTATTAGTGGAGAAAGTTGCGAACATCATTACTTCATAAATATTGCAGACATTCATTTGTAAGGCTTACTTAGAAATTTTCAAATAAGCATAACAACACGGGAATTGTATATAAATTGCATAGTTGATCAAATTTTCTCAGGACAGCAAAGGCAGGTTTTCATGCTGCTAGGTACAAGGCTTTTGGAAAAGTGTGCTATGTCATCGGTGCATTGCAAGCCTTCATGGGACATCAAAATCAGGATATGAGAATCAAGGTCAGTATTAGTTTTTTACCCTTGCTATGAAAGGTAACAGTAAATTGTCTCTATCGGTCGTGTATAAGTTCAGCTCTTTTATAGACTTTATGTAAGTGCTCTAGAAATATCACACAAGTTTTATATTAAATGAAAACAATGCAGTTCAACGAAGGCGAGTGGGTTACATTTCCTCAAGTGACAGCTATTTGCGTCGGTAATGCAAAATACTTTGGTGGTGGCATGAAAATTGCACCGAATTCTGATCCTTTCACTGGAAATTTAGAGGTGAAATGCCTTTCTAAAGTATCTCAGTGATGAAGATTATCATCTATTTTTAGCGATCTGTTAGCTAAACCTATTCCTAAACTCCTCATCTTCTATTGAAGTTTGTAGTTTCACATGAATTCTGCAGGTCGTGATTCTTCAAGACTTCAAGTGGTATGATTTTGTCCTCAAATTACATAAACTTTACAGTGGGACACATCTCTCGGTTAAAAATGTATCTACAAGAAGGTATCATCTTTTTCAAAGAAGGAAACATAGCTATCATCTCAATTATTAATTTCTAATATTTAGATCACCCCGTTTAGATAAGGTTTGTGGTTATACTCATTTGGAGTGATGTTTGTGTCGTAGTGTACTTTCTATTGAGGTGGAGGACATATCGGGCAAGGGTGGCATCTATATTCAATCTGATGGAGAGCATTTGGGATTCCTTCCAAAAAAGATCTCTATTCTGCCTGCTGCCATTGAGATGATATTTTGATCCTTCTAGAGTATAATGGATTCGACGAAAAAGAAATGATGCTGTTCATGCTTGTAATTTGTTAGATTTAAATAGAGGAGGATTTTTGTTTCAATTGCTTAAGCATCAGAGTAGGCTTCTGACAACATTTTTTTGTAGCCTTAGGGTGAGAAGCCAAGAAGCCGAGAAGTCATAAATTTGAATTGAAAATGGGTTGACGTATACTTTACTCAATTACTGGAAAATGTTTCTACATTTATAGAATGTAAAAAACTGTACAGATCGGAAGGTTAAAATAGTTATCACGCATCTCTTCAAAATTTTGCATCTTTTTGTTTGAACGGTAGTGCCAATTTATTACTTAAATGACTGGTCTGAGATTTATCAATACTCTGAATGATGCATGAAAATGGTTAGATTTTCCTCTGAATGAGTTCTATATCAATACTCTGAAACGGTGCATATTCTAGAACAGTATCAATACTTTCAAATTTCAATAAATAAAAATTACTTGAAAAACTATAGTTCTGAAGTAAGAAGAAATCCAACCGGCTGTCTCTAACTCAAGATTCTGAACCTCATAGTGAACTTCTCAAGCCAGCTAGCATAGTGTATCTCTGAACTTCAGAGCATTGGTGTTTCTGTCGCCAAACTTCTAAGACGGATCATGAACTTGCTGAAATGAGTGAAACTGAGGCTGAAGATCATCTGTCAATCATGTCAAAGTTGTAGAGACCATTCAAGGGGACTTGGAGACGTTGTATTTCATGTCACAGGTTTGTACATACCTAGTTGTCTCTTTGTTTTCTGGACTCATTCAAATTTATTTCCTTTTGTTCCCAAATAGTATTGCCCTCTGAGTTTTGCAAGGAATGTTCGACAACACTAGTTATCATTGATTTCTTTATTTTTGAAATTTTGTTGAATATTTATTTAAACAGGTTAGAATGTAAGATAACACAAATTATATTGAGATTGTAAGTGTTTTACTGGTCATTGAAATGTCCTTGAGAAATCTTCTACTTTTCTTGTAAACATATGTATTTGGGAAAGATCAAACCTCCTTTGTTTAATAAGTCAATATTACATTATTTTCTATAGTATCAAATTGTTGGTGGTTGAGCTAACGGTTAAAAGTTCCACATCGGACAATATATGGCCTAAACATGTCCTTATAAGTGGGGGCAATCCTCACCCTACAAGCCAGTTTCGTAGGGTTGAGTTAGGCCCAACCACATTTCTTAACACTAACTATTAAATATACCATGTTCCCATCATATGTGAAGGCAGCGCTTTTTTTCCAGCTGATGTTCTTCAAGATTCATCCTTTTTTGTTGTGTCATAAGTGGTATCTATTGTAAATGGGCAGAGACCTTAGTGTACTGTTTAAAGGCTTTTTCGTAACGTTAGCTTGTTGATTTGTTGTGTCATAAGTGGTATCTATTGTAAATGAGCAGAGACCTTAGTGTATTGTTTTAAGGCTTTTTCGTAACGTTAGCTTGTTGATTTGTTGTGTCATAAGTGGTATCTATTGTAAATGAGCAGAGACCTTAGTGTACTGTTTAAAGGCTTTTTCGTAACGTTAGCTTATTGATTTGTTGTGTCATAAGTGGTATCTATTGTAAATGAGCAGAGACCTTAGTGTACTATTTAAAGGCTTTTTCGTAACGTTAGCTTGTTGATTTGTTGTGTCATAAGTGGTATCTATTGTAAATGAGCAGAGACCTTAGTGTATTGTTTAAAGGCTTTTTCGTAACGTTAGCTTGTTGATTTGTTGTGTCATAAGTGGTATCTATTGTAAATGGGCAGAGACCTTAGTGTATTGTTTAAAGGCTTTTTCGTAACGTTAGCTTGTTGATTTGTTGTGTCATAAGTGGTATCTATTGTAAATGAGCAGAGACCTTAGTGTACTGTTTAAAGGCTTTTTCGTAACGTTAGCTTGTTGATTTGTTGTGTCATAAGTGGTATCTATTGTAAATGAGCAGAGACCTTAGTGTACTGTTTAAAGGCTTTTTCGTAACGTTAGCTTGTTGATTTGTTGTGTCATAAGTGGTATCTATTGTAAATGAGCAGAGACCTTAGTGTATTGTTTAAAGGCTTTTTCGTAACGTTAGCTTGTTGATTTGTTGTGTCATAAGTGGTATCTATTGTAAATGAGCAGAGACCTTAGTGTACTATTTAAAGGCTTTTTCGTAACGTTAGCTTGTTGATTTGTTGTGTCATAAGTGGTATCTATTGTAAATGAGCAGAGACCTTAGTGTATTGTTTAAAGGCTTTTTCGTAACGTTAGCTTGTTGATTTGTTGTGTCATAAGTGGTATCTATTGTAAATGGGCAGAGACCTTAGTGTATTGTTTAAAGGCTTTTTCGTAACGTTAGCTTGTTGATTTGTTGTGTCATAAGTGGTATCTATTGTAAATGAGCAGAGACCTTAGTGTACTGTTTAAAGGCTTTTTCGTAACGTTAGCTTGTTGATTTGTTGTGTCATAAGTGGTATCTATTGTAAATGAGCAGAGACCTTAGTGTACTGTTTAAAGGCTTTTTCGTAACGTTAGCTTGTTGATTTGTTGTGTCATAAGTGGTATCTATTGTAAATGAGCAGAGACCTTAGTGTACTGTTTAAAGGCTTTTTCGTAACGTTAGCTTGTTGATTTGTTGTGTCATAAGTGGTATCTATTGTAAATGAGCAGAGACCTTAGTGTACTGTTTAAAGGCTTTTTCGTAACGTTAGCTTGTTGATTTGTTGTGTCATAAGTAGTATCTATTGTAAATGAGCAGAGACCTTAGTGTATTGTTTAAAGGCTTTTTCGTAACGTTAGCTTATTGATTTGTTGTGTCATAAGTGGTATCTATTGTAAATGAGCAGAGACCTTAGTGTACTATTTAAAGGCTTTTTCATAACGTTAGCTTGTTGATTTGTTGTGTCATAAGTGGTATCTATTGTAAATGGGTAGAGACCTTAGTGTACGGTTTAAAAGCTTTTTCGTAATGTTAGCTTGTTGATTTTGGTCATTCTAGGCTCTGTATACCTTAGTTTTTCTTCATAAATATGTGAGACTTTGCCCACTTCACCAACACAGACACATTATTCTGTTAGTGATCATGGAGTAATGCTTCAGTATCACACCACTACCTCGTGCTTTATTTCTTTTCCGTTCTATTGGTCTTTGGTAGTAGTTCTGATAAAACTGGTCTGTTTTCTAATAAAATGTAGCAATTAGTTGTCTTCAGCAAAATTGTGTGCTTAACAGTAAATAAGGAGCATGAATCAATATTTTGTGCAACTATGCTATGTGACCATGCTGCTATGACGGGGATGCATAATCTGGAGATAAGTATGCTGGTAATAAAATGCTCTACAGTGTTTGTTATTTTGGCAATGGAACAAATTCTTAGGCTTAGCAAGAGACTTGGGTTAAGAAATGAGGCAATGACTTTAGGCATCTGAAAATAAGTAGTAATTAATTTTGTTTTATTATTTAAAAGGTCTCATGATACTAATAAAAAGGCTCAACTTACAGTTCTATGATCTCTCACTTAGAGTAAAAAAAGCTGTTAGAAAAACTGCTTTAGGCACCACTCACTGTTGAGCCTGGCTTGAGTATGACACATAATCTGTATGAAGAACAAGATATGGAAGTATAAGAAACTGAACTCTTGTAGATAAGATAAATGAATTTAAATATTTAATAATTGATCACAAGAATCTCATCATATTTATTGTTGGAGTCTTTTTAAATATGTGGCTTTCAAACATGTAATATAAGCTCCCCTTTCAAGAACTGTAATGTTTTAAATTAATTGTTTTCTCTTTTTTTCTTGTAGCCTTAATGCAATAAGTAAGTTGCTATGGTAGTTGTAATGTTGATAGTGTCATGTATTATGTTACGACTTAACTTTTTTCTTTTGATTTAGTCATTGTTTGAATATCTATCCTTTATGATGTTCACCAAACTATGGTCTTGTTTTGGAGTCCAAAGTAGCAGTTTTAAATTTTTTTTCTAAGTATGCATTTTTCTCTATTAATATATTCTTTTATTTTCTATTAAAAATATATTCTCTCTATTAATATTTATAAAATGGCCTTTTATTTTCTATTAAAAATATATTCTTTCTCATATTAATATTTATAAAAATACTCTTTTATTTTTTATTAAAAATATATTCTCTCATATTAATATTTACAAAAATACCTTTTTATTTTATATTAAAAATATTCTCTCTCCCCCTCTTCTATTAATATTTTTGAAAATATCATTTTGTGCTTAGTAAGTTATTAAAAATGCAAAATATCTTTTGGCTCTAGTATTAGTTATTTAAAATAAGAAAATATCATTTTATTTTTTATTAAAATTTTCTTTCTCTCTACATTTATAAATGGTATTGTAGTAAATTTTAATTTATTTTATTTGTCTTGTCTATTATTCATAAACATTGTATCAGACAAAAAATTGTCCAGTATTTTAAAAATTTGTAATGTTCTGTCAATATTTATCTTTTTGCAAATCAAAGGCACAACAATTATATATTCACAGAAATAACTTCAATGTTTTTTATTTGTTTCAACAATTATATATTCACAGAAATAACCACAATATTCAAAATTAGAAATAAAAATTTTAAGAATTTCTAAAATAGATAACTATATCTGATATACTTTATTTTTTTAATTTCCACCATGAACACTTATATAATATGAATACTCCATGATAATGTGAAAAATATAAGACATCGAAACTCTTATATATATTAATACAATTTAAATGATTGAATGTTATTTTTAGTATAAAAAAACACAATATTTTACCCTTACACTTTATCGCACTAGTAATAAATATGGTAAACAATAATTTTAAAATTTCTTTTTAATAATAAAAATTATGTAATTAGATGTGTCTGATCTGCTAAAAAGTTGATAATACAATTCTAATTGTTGTGTTTAATTTAAAAATTGTTCATAAGACAAGAGAAAAATAAGAATTAGAGACAGGACAAAAATTGAAATTTTTATCTTTCATTAAA